CTAAATTAGGAGCTCTCTGAGAGGATTCTTAGAATCTTTAAGAATACGGGCCCTGGGCCCATAAAGAAACACAACAGTAGCTACAACTACAGCTATAATTATTAATGAATAATTATTACAATAAGAATACTACTGGGGCCAGTTGTTTAAAAAGCTGAATCTGGATCAGAATGATCTGGATTTGTAAATCCTATGTTTTGCTATCCAGGATCAGGTAACCCAAAATGCAAAGCAAGACGGGAAACCTATTGCTGATGACACATCTTAATATTCATTGGTTTAAACAAGCATGATGTTTTATTCTGTTTTAAAGGGCTCATCGGATGAAAATCTGACTTTTTCCGTGTTTAAGTGCTATAATTGAGTGGCCGGTGCATCTACCAACTCAGAAAATGTGAAAAATAAGAACCCAGTAGGTTTGGTTTTGTAAGCCTTTCTCTGCAAGCATGTGAGAAAATGAGCCGATCAGATTTCTCTCCCCTTCTGACGTAGGAAGGGGTTCTTAAAGCGACAGCGGTTGACTTGTTCTGACGCCATGGCAAAAGTTCGCGGAAAACAATCTACTAATGAATACCAACTACAATTACACAAATGCTTTTAAGCGTTCACACGTCTCGTCTGTAATATATGAGCTCCGTCGGTTTGTGAGCTGCTGCCCATCCCGAGACGGAGTTTAAAAATAACCTGTTAAAGAAGCCTAATAGGATTTACGAAGAATTTAAACACCTGCTCGTGAATGCAAAAACCCTACACTCTCTCTGATAGTAGAAAAAAATGATGTTTCTTGCACAAAATGACTTTAAAAACCATCTAACATGTCACCATGCTTTTAAAAGAATCACTGAATCTCTCTTTAAACAACATTTAGAGACACGTTCAGATTTACATCAAGCAGAACTTCTACCAAACATCTGTTTCACACCATCACGTCTTTTATATCTCCTTTAAAACTGCATCTGAGTGCATGTCCACACCAAAGTTGAACACTGTTTCTCCAGAAACGTGACGTTTTGTAAAATGAATGACATCCAGCGCTGTCCTTTTCCTTCAGCTTTGTCCCGACACACCTGACGTCCACCAGCGGTCTGATCTGTTATTTTAGTGTTTACGAATCCCACCGCAGGCCTTCAGCGCGTCCGAACATCCCCCAAAACAGCCCGTCTAAAGCGCATCAGACGCGCATATGATCCGCTGTGTTTTGTCTGTGGCTCAGAGGAGGCTGAACGGCTGGGATTGGCCTGGATTAGCTGGATTATTCGTCCTCGCTCTCTCTCTCTCACTCACTTCTTTTATTCTTTCTCTCGCCGGACCGTCTCAATCCATTTAGCCGCACGTCAGTCAGTATTTTCCTTTCACACCGTGACACGCGTCCTGAGAAAGAGAGAGTCAACACCACATGACTAGAGCAATGTCATGTCATCTTTATACAGTAATGATGGGGGGAAATATATATATATATATATATATATATATATATGCAATGATCTGAAGGACCCACTCCTCCACCCCTGGAATACGATTTTAAAGGGCTCATCGGATGAAAATCTGACTTTTTCCGTGTTTAAGTGCTATAATTGAGTGGCCGGTGCATCTACCAACTCAGAAAATGTGAAAAATAAGAACCCAGTAAGTTTGGTTTTGTAAGCCTTTCTCTGCAAGCATGTGAGAAAATGAGCCGATCAGATTTCTCTCCCCTTCTGACGTAGGAAGGGGTTCTTAAAGCGACAGCGGTTGACTTGTTCTGACGCCATGGCAAAAGTTCGCGGAAAACATGCTAAATGTTCTGTCGTTGGCTGCACAGACGAACACAAATCATTATTTAGAGTCCCAGCCTCAGAGGAGACAACAGAGGAATTAATTTTAAATTTTTTTTTTAGTGGAAATCCCAGAAGGAGGGTGGGGTGTGCAGTAACTCATTATCATTTAAAGAGACATACACCAAAATGGGTTGGCGTGAGCAGAGCTGTTTCTGAGAAGGCAAAAAGGGTGTTGTTTACACAGCCACTGAGTGTTTTTAAGCAAAATATGTTACAGACATCTAATGAAGACCCTAATAAATCATGCCAACTTGTGGAAAATGTTCATCCGATGAGCCCTTTAAACACAGAAAGCGATCTAAACCGAAAGCGTCAGATTCAATTTGACCCCCTCGAACCCCCCAAAACGCGTAGGTTTTAACCATTAGATGCGGAGTCGGACCATCACCGGTGTATTTAGAACATTCGCTGCTAAATTCAAACGCTTTGTCTGGCGCTATACAGTGTTTTCAACCACATAAAATTTATTTTAACGATAACATATAGATAACGATAACAAAATTATAAAAATAGCTACAACAATACCTATAACGATAGCTGTAATAAAATAAATTATAATAAAACAGGCCTACCTATAATGCTAATTATAACAATATCTACAACAACAACTATAACGATAACTATAGTGATAAACATAACGATAAATATCATTGATAAGTTTGGTGTCTGTGTTGGTACCGTAGGAGCAAAGCGGTGCGTCCGGTGAGCTGGTGGAGGTGGGCAGCAGCGCCCTCATCAGGCCGCCGTCGTTCATGTTCAGCTGAGGCAGAGAGATGGCGTTTTTAATGATGGGCGAGATGGGCGGCGGAGGGGACGAGAAGTCACGTGACCCTCCTCTCCGGGGCAGAGGAGTCTTTCTCACATGCTGCAGTGTTCGTGACAAAAAGCGCGTCGGTTTGGAGCCGGGGGGCGAATCCGGGTACCGTATCCCATCGCTGTTACTTGATCCGCCGTAGTTGCTCAGAAACGAAGTGTCACCGAAGACGTCCCCGCCGCGGCCCACGTGCATGGTGTGGCGGAAGTCGCCGAGCGGCGGACTGATCATGTCCACCGACAGCTCGCTCTTAAACCGCCGTTTGCCGTGAGACGTGGACACCAGGCCTTTGATCGCCGGCAGCTTTCCCAGACTCATGACGAGAAATATGACTTAAATGATCCTTAACACCAAAGCCAAAAAGTCTGTCAAAAATATAAATTGATGATGATGTGCTCCTCAAATTTAAACAGATGTCAGATGTAACTGCAGCAGAATAAATAGTACATTAATGTCAAATAATCATTAAAATATCACAAAAAAGTCACGTGGAAAAAATTGCTTTAAAAAAAAATGCTAGTTTAACGAAGTGATTAAATACCCAGAAAAATGAAGCATAATAAATGCTAAATTTATGTAAAATAATTCTTAAAACAGATCCAGAGAGAGAAAAAATGGTTAATGTTAGTTTTATGAAGCAATCAATCAACCAGATAAATCCATTTGAGTAAATGCTAATGTCAAATAATCATTAAAAGATATCTAGAGAAAGAAAAAATTGTCGAAAAATACTTAAAAAAAAAAAAATCCTAATTCTACCTAAACGAAGCAAACACCCAGATAAATACAGCTAAATAAATGCTAAATTAACTTCAAATAATCATTTGAATAGATCCAAAGAGAGAAAAATGGCGGAAAAACATGTCAGAAAAAGTATAAATGTAAATATAAAGACATGAATTAAAACAGTATTTTAAGCTAATTGCTAACAAGTGTTTTTCTGTGATCTAATCAGATTCACTTTAGAATGAGCAGCAAAACCACAAAAAAACTCTCAGTTTGATTATAATATCCTGCAAAAATGTCATTGAAGACTGTTTGAAAGAGCATTGTGACAAAATCTCTACTAAATCTACTAATGAATACCAACTACAATTACACAAATGCTTTTAAGCGTTCACACGTCTCGTCTGTAATATATGAGCTCCGTCGGTTTGTGAGCTGCTGCCCATCCCGAGACGGAGTTTAAAAATAACCTGTTAAAGAAGCCTAATAGGATTTACGAAGAATTTAAACACCTGCTCGTGAATGCAAAAACCCTACACTCTCTCTGATAGTAGAAAAAAATGATGTTTCTTGCACAAAATGACTTTAAAAACCATCTAACATGTCACCATGCTTTTAAAAGAATCACTGAATCTCTCTTTAAACAACATTTAGTCATGCAAATAAAGTCCTGTCAACATATAAAGTATTCTCCAGCGTCTCCTCGTGTGTGTGCAACGTGACAGTGTGTGTGTGTATATATATATATATTCTTCTCTTTTTTTTAATGATCAATTATTATAAGAGAAACATAATTAAAACCACAACTGAGAGTAATTGGAATTACAAAAGATAAAATACAATATTCAGAGATATAATAATGTGAAACATGCTTAATCGTCATGAAACTACAGATTAAAGTTTCTCCTGACAGACACACTCATTTACACCAATTAACATACAGTACAAACACACACTTCTCCGTCCAGACTGTTATTGCTGGAGTTTAATTACACCTGTGTGTGTCTCTATACACACAC